AAACACTTTTTAAAACAAGATGCATCATCCAAGGTAAGGTTTGTGACGTGCTGATTGATAGTGGTTGTACCGAGAACGTCATCTCTCAGTCTGTCGTCCAAGCTTTGGAGTTGAAAATAACCAGCAATATGTAACATTACAAAATTAGTTGGATTAAAAAGGGTATGGAAGCGGCTGTGTCCGACATGTGTTGTGTCACCTTTTCTATCAACAAACTTTATGTTTGTGAAGTTCTATGCGACGTCATTGATATGGATATTTTCCATCTCATTTTGGGCAGACCTTGGCAATACGATATGAGTGTTGTCAACAATTGTTGACAGAATGTCTATACATTAGATTGGAAGGGAAAAAAACTCAGGCTATGCACGCTGGCCTTCATAGCGCTTGGAACAGACAAGAATACAAATGATGTATTCCTCACTTCTGGTAAGCTATTGGCACAATCTCGGCAAGATATAAAGACACTATTAGCTTTGGTGGCATCCGACATCCACAAGGAGGTGCCCACTACTTGCTACCCAAGTGAAAAAAAAGTTGCTGGAATGTTTAAGTGACATCCTCCCAAATGAGCTACCGTCAGAACTGCTTCCCTTTGTTCAACATCAGATTGAATTAGTTCCTGGGGCCACATTATTGAACCTTCTACACTACCAATAAATCCAAAGGAGTGCTCTATCATACAAAACATCTTGGCGGAACTACATGACAAACAACTAATTCAACATAGTTTAAGCCCAAGTGTTGTACTCGTACTATTGGTTCCTAAGAAGGATGTTCAATGGCGAATGTGCATTGACAGTAGGGTGATCAATAAAATTACAATGAAATACATCTTTCCCATTCCCCGGCTATCTGACTTGCTGGATCGCTTGGCTGGAGCTGTGGTGTTTACAAAGTTGGATCTACGCAGTGGCTACCACTAGATATGCATACGTCTAGGAGATGAGTGGAAAACCACATTCAAGATGCGTGAGGGGTTATACGAATGGAAGGTAATTCCCTTCGATCTTTGTAATGCACCATCCACATTTATGAAGTTGATGCATGAGGTGATACAACCCTTTCTAGGAAAAATATGTGTCACTTACTTTAATAATATTATTATATTTAGTACTAACATTTCAAACCACCTTCACTTAGTGATATCCTGCAAGTTCTTCGGCATCATAAACTCTACTTAAGTCTGGCAAAGTGTGAATTTGTAACATCTAAAGTTTATTTTTTGAGCTTTATACTCTATGTGAATGGTGTAGAAGTGGACCCAAGGAAGGTTCTAGCTATTCGAGAGTGGCCTACTCCCCGATCACTATTTCATATACAAAGTTTTCACGGGCTGGAAAATTTTTATTGATGATTCATCAAGGGATTCAGTATCCTAGTGGCACCGCTTATGGATTATTTGAAATCAAGTAGTTTCAAATGGACTATGGAGCAGCAAACCAGTTTTGACAAATTGAATGAGGCATTATGTGTTGAAACTTGTTCAATATGAATTAGGTTGTTAAACCTAAACTTATGTTCCAGTGGCTAACCAAGAGGGGGGTGAATTGGTAATTAAAAACTTAGTCCCTCTTTATAATATTTTAAATCGAAAATAAAATTTAATGAATTTTGTAGAAATAGATTTTTCAACCACAAGTTAATAACGATAAAATAAAAGTAGTTGAAAAATAAAAGACACGAGATTTATAGTGGTTCGGTCAAACACGACCTACATCCACTCCCCGGAGGCACCCTCCGAGTATTACATTAATACCACTAGTGACTCTCCTTTTGCACCCACAGCAAGGCAAAGAATCCTTTACAAAACTATCTTCCACCACTACCTGGTGCGGTAGAGAACCATCGTTTTTTTACACTCTCCTAGTGTAGGAAGAGAACCCGTCATCCTTTCACACTTTCCCGGTGTAGGCAGAGAACCCATCATCCTTTCACAATCTCCCAGTGTAGGTAGAGAACCCGTCGTCCTTTCACACTCTTCCAGTGTAGGCAGAGAACCCGTTGGTTGTTCATACTCTCCAAGTGTAGGCAGAGAACCCGTCAGCTATTCACACTCTCCAAGTACAGGCAGAGAACCTTTCATCCTTTCATACTTTTCAAGTGTCGGCAAAGATTCAGATCCCCTTGACAGATCTTCTCACAAGAAATCTAGAAGGAAGAGAGGAAAGAGTGAAGTAATCAAAAACCACAAGTAGAGACTCTTACCTTTGACTACCAAGTGAAACCTTCACGCTCCAGTAGTAAGAATCCTCCTTCAAACACTCTCTCACACACTCTCCTTTCAGTAGGCACGAAGATCAGTAGGCAAAAATATTATGAGGCAAATCTAATTGGACTTTATATAGGAAAGACATAAAAAACGATCAAAAAATTACTGATTTTCAAGTCTTTACAAAGTGGATCATCCTGTACAATCGTGGATCGTCCTGGATGAACTTACTTAAATCAGTTCCATACAAACCTAATGTATATTGGTATGAACTGACTTTGTACCCGATTATCGTCTTGTATGAACTAAGTTTGTCTGGTACGAACAATTATATCATAGGTCGGTTTGATAAACTGCAGGAAGTTATCAAAATTATAAATAATAAAACATTTTCATCCTGGGACAAATAAGAGTTCGTCTAGACAAAATTTTTACAGAGAGCATATTTTCTTGGGCCGAATACGAACTTGTCTGAACGAAACTTTTCCAGAGAGCATTTCATCCTGGGAGAAATTGAAATTCATCTGGACAAAATTTTTACATAGAGCATTTCGTCCTGAGCTGAATATAGGATTTTGTCAGAACAAAAATTTTCCAGAGAGCATTTCGTCCTGGAATGAATTGAAGTTCGTCTGGACAAAAATTTTCCAGAGAGTAATTCGTCCTTGCACAAACAGGATTTCGTCTGAGCGAAAATTTTCCAGAGAGCATTTCATCCTGGGACGAATAAAAAAATTCGTCTCGACGATCAGGACTTGGAAAAATTTTCTTATTTCCTGTTCGTTAAATTGCTCTTTTGAGGGGATAAATAACTTGATCGTCCCGTACGAACATGGTTTATCCCGTACGATCAGTATGAATTTTAAAGATCTCCCCACAAGTGTGTGTTTACAACCACTCCCTCTCAAACTCAATACAATAAAAAATACAAGCTTCAATTTACAAATTATCTCATGTTGAATTTTGATTTGAAGTCTTTATTAGTCTGGAGTTCGATTATCCTGAAATGTTAGTCCACACAAGAGCAAAAATAATTCTTCCAAAAATTGTTAGGAGAATACAAAACCTAAAACAATAATATTTGGAATCATCAAAATAATAAAAGTTGCAAGAATGTAAAACATGCAATTAGCAACTCTCTTAACATTGTGTTTAGGTCTTGTGCTAGCTTTACCCAACATTGAAAAGTCATTCCATCAAGATACAAATGCCTCCAACATAAGCATCAGAGCCATTCTATCACAAGAAACCTGCCCAGTGGAGTTATTCAGTGAAAAGCTAAGCAATACTCGTCTAAAAATTGTCAACGTACGAGTAAGAGTTGTATGTTGTTATCCGAGCTTTGAAGTAATGGGAACACTATCCCCTTCATCAAGATTTTGTCTTATGTAACGACAACAAGGCCCTTCAATACCTCAACAACAAGAAATCCAACAATCGAATGCACGCCCGTTGGATCATTTTTTTTTTGGTAAAAGTTCACATTTGTGCTACAGCACAAAGAGGGAAAATTAAATCGAGTGGCTGATGCCCTTAGCAGGCGATTCACAATGCTAGTGTGTTTCCAAACAAAAATTATTGGGTTACAAGAGATGAAAGGTTTCTATGAGACGGATGCATATTTCACCCTGTTTTGGGAACAATGGGTGAATGGTCAACCAAGTGGTTACTACAACATACGACATGGGTTCTTATTCAAAGCCAATTGTCTGTGTATACCAAATTCATCGTGGCCTCAGTATCTTATAAAAGAAACACATTCTGGTAGCCTTACCACTCATTTGGGCTATGAGAAGACTCTTGCTCAGCTCCAAGTTCATTTCTTTTGGCCTCGGTAAGCTCGTGATGTATCCAGGTTCATAGAGAAATGCTCGGTATGCCAAACTTACAAGGTGACGACTTAGAACAACGGCCTATACTTTCCACTTCCTACGCCAGATTTCATTTGAGAGGACCTTAGTATTGACTTTGTTCTCGGTCTCCGTCGAACAAAAAATGGGGTCGATTCCATCATGGTGGTCGTCGACAGATTCTCCAAGATGGTGCACTTTATTTCGTGTAAGAAGACATTTGATGCAATTAATGTGGCAAATCTATTTTTTAAGGAAATAATACGTTTACATGTTCTTCCATGAAGTATTACATCCGATCGTGATGTTAAGTTTGTTATCCATTTCTGGCGCGAGCTATGCCACACAGATTTTAAACTGAGATCAGCATACCATCCTCAAACCGATTGTGAGATGAAAGTTGTTAACCGTACCCTCTATAACATGCTGCAGTGCCTAGTCCAAGAACATCTTATGAAGTGGGAAGAGATGTAGAGCCAAGCAGAGTTCACCTTCAACTCTATTCCCAATAGATCAATGGGTCACAGTCCCTTCAACATAGTCAAGATTAAGATGCCCAATCATTTAATTGACGTTGTTGTTATACCGAAGTGCCGAAGCACCGCCACTATTCAATTAGCACAACAATTCCAAAATATCTTAGAATAAGTCCATACTAAATTGGATCAATCCAACTTTAAATATAAGGAAGTAATAGATTTAGATTGTAGGCGTAAGGTCTTTAACCCCAGAGATTTTGAGATTCTCCTAGCCCGTAGAGAGCATTTTTCTTTCGGCACCTATACTAAGCTCAGTCCTTGGAAGATTGGGCCTTTTCCCATTCTGTGGAGAATTAATGATAATGCCTACATTATCAATTTGTTGGCTCATATTTAGACTTCACCCACCATCAACATGAGTGATATCCATCATTATCATCCCCCCGACGATGCCAACACTCAATTATCCTCCTCGGAGACCAGCTCTTCTAAAGAAGGGGAAACATGATGGGATAATCCTAAGCCACGTGAACAGCAGACTGTTGCTACTCCACTACTTTAGTTTCTTTACCCTTTTTGTTATGCACGTTTACTTTTAGCTTTTTAATTTCTCTATTTTAAATGGCAAGTTAGTTAGTAGTGCTATAGGACATATATACCCACAAACGCAAAAGGCATATATGAAAATACTATATTCTGCGACTGCTCTTCCATTGGGATTGTGTTTTTCCTAACCCTCTTGCAGGTCTATTCTAGCGATCCTCTGAGGGAAAGGTTCACCTTCGGCAACTTATCGTGGGTAAGATACATCAGCATTGATGTAAAACTCACTGTTATAACGTTTGTATATTGCCTTGTGTATATAAAGAGATGTATTAGTATAGAGCTTTACATGTGTAGGCTAGAGAATCATTTGGTTTGTTATAAGTGAGCGGCTGGATGCGTTAGGTGCTGTTAGCCATAGCTTTGTTAAAAGTAATGGGCTTTGCTTCTTTTACATACCTATCTCTTTACTGTTATTGCTGCCTTCCTCATGCATCATCGAATACATTTTTAACATCTGATATGTGAATATTTCTAACCATGCCCCCTTTTTGTTATTGTAATTCAAGTTGTTTCATTATGAGATGTGCAAATACATTAAATATTATAACCGAATGAACAAGCGATTCAAAGACAGTGAGATGCTTCTGCTTCTTTCTAAGCAAACTGATGAATATCTACCTTCTAATTGTTTCATATTGTATTCATTCTAGCCATATAAAGACTAAAAAAATCTATCTAATAAGAAAAAAAAATAGATACATCAAATGAAAATATCTTTAATTTTTTGATATGTGCACCAACCAATGCTTGATGAATTCTTTTGCTGTCTTGTTAACAATTCTGTCCCTGTGAGGTATTGGCACCAAATAAGATAGATGTAAGTTTCTCTTGTGATCATTGGCATTTTGCAGCAACGAGCAGGGACTTGGAGGTGCCTGGGCAAGGATCATGACCAAATTTCCTTGGTGATACAGGAATTGAGCATCCACTTCTACCTAAGCAGGCCTGTTTTAAGATCAAATTGTAGGGTTAAAGCCCGAGAATGAAACAAATTGAAAAGCCAAAAAAGTCAACTGAGTGTAATAACTCAATCTTGTTATTCAAGGAAATGCTTAATAAATCAAATTTAAGCTTTGTTAGGAATAACTTTCTTATTGCTTTCTAAAACAATTTTCTAGTATAAAAGTATTTCGTTCAAAAAAAATTTGAACTAAAAACTTGCTTTAAGAAATAATAATTAAGTGTCCCAAATGAAGCCATAGCTTGAGATAGGATGAGCCTCCCAAGAGCTGGTCGAGCTCAGCCTGAGCTGAAAGAAGAGGTGGTTCCCATAAGCACAGGTAAATTTAGATTGGGAAGCACTTAAATTATGTGAAAGGATTCATGACTCATTGGTACCGGGAGAATTTTAAGATCACAAATTCAAGCAACATATTTTATGGTTTATCGCACACCATTAAAAAAAAATCCTATTCTCAAACATTTAATGTTGTGCTAGTAGAAATAAAAATTTTACAATGCGAAGTTAAGCAAAGTAAAAGTTGTCATGAACTCACCTTTTCTGCAATCGTTCTGGATGTTGCTGAATGGCAGCTTCCCACCAAGTAGGAATCACAATTACCTACAGGGCTTCCATAGCTTGCAAAATCTATGGATGATATGGCCTTACCTTTGGGACAGTGAAGCTTAACAGATGGGTATTTGTTCAGTGAAACAATAGATTTTGGATAAGATTCAGACACCCTTCCACATATACCAGTAACTGAAATAGCTTCCAATGTTATTGTTGAAGGGTTCCCTCCCATTTCCTCAAACAGAACAAGAAGGTTCCCATATGCTTTTAAAAAGGAACGGGGAACGTGATACCTATTCAGTAATTCAGTAAATAAATTTACAAGTGTGACAATGAAACTGAAAGTGATCAATACAAACTTTGCTTACAAAGATTGAGATGGAACTCCTTTAGGAGTTTTAAAAGAGATCCAGTAGCGGCCAATGCTTTGACCATTGATCCATACTTCACCTTTTCCCATACCAATTAAGTTGAGTGCCAATGGTTCATCACTCAAGGGAGCATCAAATATTGTCTGTTTATGATTCACAGCCATTTTTTTATGTTTCAGAAGAGAGATTGTTGACAAGTTGTATGTTGAAAAAGTTAATTACCATGTACCAAACTAATGGCTGACTAGGAAAACTCTCAACTGTCTTCCAATCTGTAGCTTTTGTTCCTTGTTCTGTGAAAACATTTGACTTCTCTCCAGACAAACCAACCTGTATTTACTTTTTTCATGAGATGAAGTCCACCTAGTTGCTTAACATCCAAATTTTTTGATAAAATTAACACGCCTGCGGGCGCATTGGGTTGATCTTGAATACAAAATATGTTTTAGAAAATGATGATTCCATTTCTCCTAATTTTATATGTAAAAAAGAAGCAATCAGATTTAAGGGGTTTTAACAAAGTTTATAGAGCTTAAATTCAGTGTTAATTTAATAATTTCTAGCTACATCACTTCAAATTAAGAAGTCTAAAAAAGTCATCAATTTTCAAACAGTTTTATAGTTTTATGCCACCGAAAGTAGCAATAATGGTTTAGTAGACGATCTAAAATTCAATTAAGAAAGTATTAAGCCTTGTCTGGGAAGCATTCTTACGTATGATTAGTGAGAAGAGCAGTAGCAGAGTTGAAATTTCGATTTCAACCGGTAAAAACGCATCTGATAACAAGGCAATTCTGAACTACCCATTTGCATTAGAAAAATATTTACTTTTTTTTTCTTTCGAACATTTAGGTCAATTAAGCAAGTATCAAACTCAAGACCTTTTGGTTAGTAACCAAAGCTCTTATGCAACAGACCAAGACGAGTTACGAGAAAAAAAAATACCATTATAATGAACATACATATTAAATGCAACATTTATTTCTATGATGCAATGAGATGCTAAAAGCTCGAGTTTGCTACCTTATATGTCCACTGATTGTTACTGAGATCTTCGAACTGGTCTTTTGAGTTCGAAATCCTCACTCTTTGTAAACCAGCAACCCGGCGCTCTAGATATGCTCCAGAATCCTTCATAGAAAAAAAAAATGGTATCTTAGAAGCACTCAGACAGAATAAGAGGGTACAAGCAAAGAGAACAAGTAAAACATACCTATTGGTTATTCTATTCTTCTATTTTTTAAAAGGTAATTTCAAACGATAGATATTCTTAGCACAATTATAGCATTAATTGAACCGCATGGCCAAAAGATGAAGCAATTTAAACAGTACAGTTATCAGCATATATAGTCACCCAGTGCTAATGTCTGAATGTTCTTACTGTTTTCTATTGATCATTCTAAAAACTTAATTTAATGCAAGTTTTTAAAATATTTTTTTGATATTATGGATGTTTATACAATAATGATGATCCAAAAGAAGCTCTTACTGGTAATCCAACCATGACACTCAACAATGAGATATCATTCTGTCCATTGTTCAGTGAAATGGCTTTGCTGAGAAGGAAAGCATCCCTTGAGCCATGACTTCCGTGTACAGTTCCTAACATGACATAAAATGAAAACATCTTTCAGCATCATTAAGTCCATTGTCATCCTGTCATATCATTTTCATAATGTCTGAAGTAACAATTTTTGAAGTTAGTTGCATTATAAGAACTGATTTTCATCTAAAACCTCACTTTGAAAATATGATTCAACCAACTTTAGATACTTACAATGGAAAAGCACATGAACTTTTCTGAAAAAAATTGTATTAGATTTTAACTTACCAACATATTCATTATTTACGAAAGCATGTATCACATGAGCTAATGAATCGACATGAATCATGTTATTCTGATTGCCTGATGTGTTGTTGTATCTGCAGACAACATGACTGTTAAGATCAGAAATGAATTATCGAACTTCGACGTTAACTCTTATGTGTTAGAGCCTTTCTACGCAATAGCATAATTTCAATTACAAGCTCTCTGAATGAATGTGAGAAAGTAATTAATGAGCATAATATTGGTTTCTTTAAGATCACTAGTTAAAAGTAATCTTAAAACATTTTAAACATATCCAGCGGTTGAAAGTTTTCTTGTTACCTGGTTAGATACCAAAGATAATCCGTCGAATCTTTAGTTGCTGCCATTTGTTCTATAAGTTCATTTTCTACCCAAGTAGAAGAATTAGAAGTTGGAATTTTTTCCATTTCTACTTTCCATCTGCTTGCTTGATTGAAAATTTCTACAGTTTTTGTTGATCTTGTGCCATATTGAGCACTGACCTGCAAAGATGAAACCATATATGAAAATTACTCGAAGACTAGAAGTTAAATACTTAACAATGACTACAATCAATTAGCTTGAAAATCCTGATGAAAATGAATAAAAATTTTTACATGAAACTTTAATTTATTATATGATTTTAAAAACAAAAAAACTGTAACATAGAGGAAACTTGAGACCAAGCATTGAATAAATTTTTAAGGTGCAAAGGTTCTTTAGACACACCTTGGCCGTATTGAAGGCAACATTGTTGCAGTTAGATAAGATGCTTATTGACTTCTGAGGCAATTCATATGTACTATTCTGAAATTGAACAGTGGCTTCATGAACTAAGTCCTGATTTATGAGGAAGGCAAGACACTTTCCTGTATCTGTTTGAAAAACATGTGCCTATGATGGAAGCTTTTTGTTATTCCCAGTAATAGACTAACTATATATAAATGCAGCTAGAAAGGAAGTTGTAAAAACTGATAAAGCTAAATTTAGATCTTACCTCTTGTGCTTGGCCAATTGAGAAGCTGATATATTTCCCATCAAGTAATGCTTCAGAGTTTAGCTTAATTGCAGCATGTAATTCCTTGAGATGGGCCCATTTTGGTTGCCATATTAAACCTAGAAAAAGAAAAAAAAAACTATTAAATAAGACAGAACATGTAATTATTGAATGAAATGAAAGTAATATAATGATATAATTTCATTTGCAACACTAACCATATTCATCTAAAGGAGCTTGATCATAATAAGCTGTGATAATATATGAAGAGGAAGACTTTCCAAAATTAGTTCCTCCATGATACTGCACTTGAAAGTATTGTGTTTTCCACATCATTATTCAAATTTTATAAGGATTTCATATAGTGGTCATGTGCATATAATTCTAATACATGTTAGGATTCTAATGATTATCATCTATTCTTCCATTTGACATCAAGTATTATACCAAATGAAATTATAATATATTTCAAGTATTATTAAAAAATTAGAGTAATATGCTTGATATCAGTAAATTTTGAGATATTAATGCAAGAAATTGTTCTAGTGACAGCTATAAGGAAAATTTTCATCTTCCTTTTGTAGAGATCGTGAGTTGTAGCTAGTCATCATTTAATATATGACCACAAAAAATGAAATAAACTATGTATTTTAGATTATTGGACGGCAATTGTGTCAACAAACATGAGAAGTATTAAATGTTGACAACATATATGTCATATGGAAAAAGCAAAGTTTGCATTTCATTATTTTACTTTAGTTAGTATTACATTTTTATTGGTTTTTAATATTCTTGAGCTTAGAAACGTTAGTATTAATATTAACCATCTGCAAGTGAAACAAAGAATTGACAAATATAAAGAGCTTCAGTTTTATTGAATGACATACTAAGTGCAGTTATTTTATTCTTATTATTTTAACATAATGAGTCGATCTATGTTTTGGAATCCAAAGTATTCATAAAAAAATATCATACTTTGACATAAAATAGCATCTTCTTGATCTATAAAAAGACGTAAAAGAGATATTAGATAATGCGATGACCATACCATATAGTAGTTCACAAAGCTCCCCTTCTTTTTAGCTACAAATAGTGCAACCGCAAAGGCAATATCTTCTACCGACCTTATGTATGGCTCTTCTCCATACACTTGGTAGCTTCAAAAAAAAAAAAAAAAAGAGCTATGCATTAGTTCCAAGTTAAAATATATTTTAAAAGTTCAACATGATTCTATATATGAAATATGAAACTTAGTTTAGATGATTAGAAACAATAAAGAAATAATAGAGCGACATAAAAATAAAAAGTTGGATTCCATCCAAGCCATCCAAACTCAATTGGATGATGAAATAAAGAACGACCCAAGTAATTTTGCAATTATCATCAAGACTGTAAGGGATTCAATTCCCCAAATGAATTTGCACTAATTTGAAGAATATGAAGTTTGATAACATTTAAATTGAAATCATCACTATTCTTACACTCGGTAGCAATTAAGATATTAGCTAAAGAATCACTTAAATTTCAACTCATGAATGTTTGGAATCTTAGAAGAAAGTTTTAGATATTCTTTTTACTTGATAGATGCAATGGAGTGGTATTTATAACAATTACTTACAAAGATGTCCAGTTTTCCGTCCATAATGATGGCTTATTTGGTGAATTAGGACCTGTAAAGGTTTCACCACATCTCATACCATTGCAAGTATTAATCTGTAGAGGTAATACAATGTTAAATATGAACTTAAAATATTATTCATACTTACATCCAATGTATATCCAATGTGTAAATGAATCAAAGCGAGTCAAAATGTGCTTTAATATAAGGTATTATACATTCTGTTTATAATTAATAGAACTAACCACTGGATCAGGGGCATCTTCTTGTTTACACATCATCCATGGGACACCAGTTTGAAGGTTCACAGCCATATTTGCAGCCCACTTCACATAAGCTGGGCCTTTCTCATGGAAGGCATGCTCAATTGTTTGATATTCATTCTCAATCTATATAAAATATCAAATGAATAACTAAGTCATTGATGGAAACATTAAGCCAAAATAATAACAATAAATTTTGGCATGACCTGAGAGAGTATGATTGGTCCTCCTTGAGAAGCATATAAATTCTCATCCTTCATCATCTGAACTATCTTTGAGACAAACCTTTGCATGTACATCTATAAGATATGCACAACGTTTTAACAAAATAAAATGAAAGAAAAAAAAATTATGTAAAATTAAAATCTTGCTTATTTATTGAAATAATGATTAGGTGCTTCTATTTATAATGTTAGCAAAAACATTATCAACTTTAATTCTCAACAATTTATTAATTTTTTAATATTTTGTTTGTATTACATGCAAATACATAGATTAATTCCTATAAATAATTAGGTGAGAATTTTATAACTATGGAATTCTTCAATGGTATTCAACTAAATCTTCTAATAAAATGATACAACTTAACTAACATTGAACAAATACAACAAAAGTAGAGCACAAAATATGTTTTAATTACTAGTAAATATTTTTATTATATTCATGTTATCACATATACGAGCTATTTATGATAAGAATCTACAATATTAATTCTTATAATATTTTCTTATCATTGAAAATATTCTTTTTTATTATGTTTTTTAAATTATTTTCCTATCTAGCAAATATATAGGCACATATTTTTCTTGTACTAGCACCAAAATTGAGTAAAGATGTAGTTTTTCTCTTTGATCTATCTTGTCCTCTATCCCACTAGTTTTCTCTCTTCTATTTTTCTTCTTTAGATCCTTCCACACCTACCTATTATTCTATGATCCTGTCCTTGAGTTCTTAAACTTCACCAGCAAAGAACTAGCATCATTATTTCTTTCTTATTGCTTTTCTAGCCCCTTATTAATCTATTATCTAGATAGCTAAGAAAATAATAATCATGAGCCAACAATAAATCGATTACTTGCCATTGATACTTACAACTTCCATTTAAAGAACATCATCTATTATAGCTTTTATTTTTTTAACTTTTTTAGCTTCACCTTACATCTATAAGCAACTATTTGTGTTTGGATATTAGTTAAATCCTTTGGTTTCATTATTTTCTTCAACAATGTCTACGTTCAAAAGATAGCATTCACACAAGTATTTATTATTTAGTAGTGCTTCATGGGTGAGAATTTCCCTTGCATAGTCACAACACTTAAAGGCCTTCAATGATTGAGAGATTTATCATCTCATCAGCCTTTAGTGACTTATTTTTTGGTGTCTCATATTTGCATAAACATTTTTTTTTATTTTCTTATTTTATCATATTTGCATAAATATCTTATAACTCATATTCTCTTATTTCTCACACCTTCTAAATTCCTTATCAGACTTTGCATATTGTGCATTTTTATAAAACATTCAATATGTGATCATCACTCAAATGGTCTAGTATGATCACCTGTGATTATCCCTATTCACACTATTGTTAATTAGCTTTCATTCCTAAGGGCATAAACCTTTTCTCACCTTTATGGGCCTTCAAGTTAGCTTGGGTGTTAAGCTTATGGATCTCAACACATTATGATAACTAATTATTCTGCTAACACACTCAAGAGCTTGATTGTGACTTGGTGTAGCAAAGTTTGTGCTCACTGTCTTTTTCCTCATATGTGGTTGGGATAAGGGGTGGGATGATGTATGACTTGTAATTGTTAACAATACTTATATATTGTACTATGTTGTCACTAATATATGTATTTCCTTATTCTACCACTACTTTCCTCCACCAAATTTACTTCAACTACACCATCTAAACACTTGTTTGCATAGGTGATCTCAAATCCTTTACAGCTTCAGTCTCCTCACCAAAATTTACTTTAGCTCAATTTTCTATCCCAATAAATAATTTTCAACTTTATCTATCTATAAAGTTGTTAATAAGTTTTGCCTTAACTCTTTTGACCCCTTTTTAAACCATTCTTCATAAATACTGCTCTCTCTATCCAAGTTCTCTTTAACAACATTCATTACTACTATTCTACTTCAATGCTGTGTATAATTACTTTCCATTCAAGTATCTCATAAATTTCTTCCCTGATGCTAACATTAACTATTTAGATATGAATTAAATAACTCTAACTTTAATGAATGGGTTGCACTCCTTGGCAATAAAACATTATCTATGTCAACCCTGATTACTATTATTTTTAAATTCATTGTAACTTTTTTGTCACCTAGAATTTGTGGAGTGTTATAACATGTAAATTATCACATGTTTTAATCATTTATTATAGGAAAATAATATTTGTTTTAATATATCCTCAATGTTGTAGGATTTCTGGATCTTTATGTTGAAATTAGTAACTTGATTGGTGCTCCTTTAGGGTGGTGGTAGAAGGATTATGTTGGTGGTGGTGGAAAGGGTAAGTTTTTCATAGAGGAAAACATTGAGGAACTCTAAATCAAATGATTGGGATGTTAAAAAAATTGTTATTTTGATAATTTTAAAATTAATCGTTTAGCTGTTGCGATTTTTAATTTGATTGCTCATACTAGAAAATAATCTCTCTATATTGGACCTTTAGCTATTGTATATCAGTGTTATTTGGGAGTTAAGACATTGACAAGTTATGAGTGATGTGAGGGAATGCTTGGGATACTTTTGAAAAGATTATGGTGAAAAGAACCTCGTATTAGGTTATCCACGGGAGATGAGAATTGTTGGTAAAGAAGAGTAATAAATGTGGGAGAAGATAACCAAGGACTCACTAAAGCCTTGAGGGATTTGTCAAAAACCTTTAGTGGAGGTTCATGAAGCCATTAAGATTTCCACTTAAAATTTGCACAAGCAAAAAATAATTTTACTCAATTAATCCAAAAGTATAAAGTAATATTTTTTTATTGACCTTTTTCAAGCCTAAATAATTTTTAAACCTCTTAGGAACTAAAAAAAATTATTGCATGAACTGAAGATTATCCTATTATTAAAAAAAAAAAAGAGAGAAATAAAATAATATTTAAAGCTTTCAAAAATATGAAAAATTTAATTGATCAAATAAAAAAAAAACATAGTGGTCTTAAAATCTAGCCATTTCTGGAAGATTTTGCTTCCTTAATAAGTATGCCTAACCTACTCATCAAATTATTATTTAACTTAAACTTATTAATTATTTTTCAATAAATTTAAAGAGATTATGGGCCATTCATGAGCTTGCATAGGGAGTTCCATATGATAAATTGCCTAAATCTTAATGTTGTACCTTATTATGTGATCTTATTCTTGGCCTTCATTGTGGTATTGCATCACTCAATATTAATATATTAATATTCATCTTTTAATTATTTGCTTAAATGCACTGGTTTTCTTTTTTAAAAATTTTCATATTTATTTGTAAGTAATAAAAAAATATAAGTTGTAACTTTCAAAAAACTATAATTGTAAAGGATATTCTTACCAACACAATACTGAAGTACATACCTTGAAAGGTTCATTATCACTTCGATAAACTATACCGGGTATGTCATGTAACCAAAATGGAAAACCCCTATATCATAGAAGAATAATTAAATGCCATTATGAAAATATGAAAACTAACTGTACAAGAATTACATTTAAAACTAATTTTGCGATGAAGAAATTCTTTTTATTATTATTATTATTTTTCACTATCAAACTCTTCATTAGTTAGCACAAGTTAAAAATTATAAATTTATTAATCATCAAAATATTATAGTAAAAATGTGTTCATTATTAATTTCTTCATACATCTAGATTGATTTACCAATACAAAATTCCAATAAACTTCTTGAAAAAAACATTTATATTTATTCAATCACTCTTAAATTGACTTTCTTATTTATTTTTATTCTTATTTTATTGATCATAAACATTTATAAACAAACATCATCGCTCGAAAGAATATATGCTTTTGTTTTTATATTTTGGGATATTGAGATCAAGTAAGACAAACTCATACGAACATCAAATAAAAAAATACTCGAACCCAAGACTTCTTAGTTGATAGTTAAAGATCCCAACTAACAAATCATGCAAGATAAGGAGTGTGTAATTACTTCTGTCAAAAGAGAGAAAAGAAGCATTGACAAATGTCTTAATTGTATGTAAAATAATATTGTCTTTCTAATTAAGTATGAAGACTGAAATGGTAGAGAAACTTACCCATAATTCCACTCTGCCTCAATGAAGGGACCAATTCTCAGGCTAACAAACAAACCTTGGTCTCTTATTTCCTTGATGAATCTCACCAAATCATATCTTCCTTCAAAATTATACTGAAAAAAGAAAAAAAAAAACATTTATTTGCAACGTTAAGAACCAAAAAAATTTTTAATTAAAATAATAAAGAGAAAAAAATAAATTGGAGGATTTCACCTGTCCCTGAATAGGCTCGTGCATGTTCCAAAAGACATAAGTTTGTACCACATCAAGACCTCCTGACTTGGCATTGGCAATTAGAGATGGCCACATCTGTAGTGCAAAGATATATTTTTTAATATCAAATTTCTCTCACACAGATATTTTTTAAATTCATAAAAAATAAGTAAAAACATTAATAATGATAATCATATTTTTTTTTATTTGAATGAGTTTTTATTTTAAAATTAATTCAATATAAATTAAATTGATTAATTATTTATATGTTCACCATCTCAAAGCAATCGAATTTTAATAAGGCCATCTCAAAACAAAATTTTCAAAGGATAATTTTATCTAAACATTGGGTCAAATGTTCAATTACTTGAAAAAGAAAAACTTCTATTGTGCTATTTTAAAAATGATATCACTTTGTTATGATCCTTACGCCTGCTAGCTTATCTCTTTCAGACGTTTCTAAAATAAGTTACAATCTATGGCACGTTGAATTATTACTTTTTTAAGTAGAAGCCAAACTCCACATCAATTAATCAATTGAAAATTAAATAATGAAACGCTTGTCTTTATTTCCTTTTCTTCCCCGTTACTGAACTCTTGAATCCATTAATACATATCTTATCTTCTGGACATCCTATCAATTATATATATAAGCATAATCAAATTATTATCAATTAGAACACAATTAAAGAATATGACTTTGATTGTACTTTGGAGTACATATTAAGTATCAAGATAATAATAATAAAATACAGACATCACAGGAACTCGCCCTTCCCAGGGTAAGTGTCGTCAACCCCCACACATCCAAGTCTAATTATAGAAAAATGCCTACCTAGAGAGCCTTAATCCGCTTTATCCACCATAACCAATTGACTACTTGGATATCATTCAGGACAATTTTTTTGCTGCTTTCTAAAACAATTTTCTAGTACAAAAATTTCATCAATTAGAAAATTTGTAACTAGAAAGCCATTTTATAGAGCCTTAGTTTATCTTCTTTGCTTCCTGAATTCACTTGCTTTCTCTTATAGGCAATCCAAGGTTTACCATAGGTCGCCAACAGCTCCTCGAAACCGCCGTTGTTACCGGCGGCCCATTAACCGCCGGTCAAGGCCGCCGGTAACAGCTGAATTTCCAGTAGTGGTTGTTCCGCGGGAGTTGCAGGGATGCGATAAAAGTATTAAATGTGAAATAATTCAGAGGTTTGTGAAAGCTTCTGACTTTTATTTGAATTTTGATAAACTTGACTTAGAGTTTTTATTTTTATTTTTTGTTTTTTATAATTTTTTTTTTATTTTTTTAAGTTAGAGATTAAATTTAAATTAATTTGGATTAATTTAACAATAATCCATAGCAATACCTTATGCATGAACAGCTGTGTGAAGAACCTAACTTGGCGTAGAAATTCATGAAAAGGGATTTCGTGGATCATAAGTTGAATCCTTGTAAGAGTGAAGGATTGAGCTGAGTACTCAAAGGGCAGCAAAACGTTATAATTTTTCTACATTAATTGCTTTAGCATCGCTACAGAGAGATTAGATGGAGCCATCAATAAGATTATTATCATCACATTTCTAACAAATTAATAAAAAAATATGCTCCTCACAAATACAATACAATTACAACAACAATTCAATCCCTTGAAGAGTTCATTAACTGAGAAGAGAAGGAAAGAAATAATTTAGAAATAGTATATTTGTTAAGTCATGTAATTAATATTAGGCGTAAGGGTCATAATAGAGTGACATAATTTAGAAATAGTATTTTTTAATTCAAGTAATCATTATTAATTAAATCATCACAAATCCTCTTACAACTTTATAAAGAATAATGATTTTTATTCTAGATATAAATAAGTGAAATAGTTAGTATTTTTTTAAGATTAATGATTGACACTCGAAATAAATCAATGAATAAATTTATGTTTTCTTAATTAGAAGTTGAAAAACAAATATGAATATGATTTTACTGTATACTTTCATATGAAGTCATAGGTATTTAATAGTTGGAGGCGACACGTTTCCATGAAAATTTATGTAATATTGTACTTTTTTTTCTTTTTTATGGGCGTAAACTTTCTTGTAATCCTCAAAACCTCATAAATAAAAAGATAAAGATAAGTGTTTTACAATTTTATTGTCCTATTGGTTGATTTTAGATTGATCGAGTTTTTGAGTACTTTTACTATAAATTATCTCAAGCAAATCTCTTTCTATCCATTCTCACACATGTTTTAGGTCTCCCGTTCATGGAATTAGCATGCTTAGAAAGTTGGTTGTCATCCAAAGAAAAAATTCAATCCAACATTACTCAATTTAATTAAACCACATAAACTAAAGACTAAAAAATTAATAAATTTTTATTTTAAATAAAAATATTCCTTATGAAAAATATGATTTTTTAAATATACTTTTATATTTGTAAAATAAAATCAGCTTTATGAATTAAAGTGACAAGATACAGTAATGCTATACTTTTCAAAAAATAAAAAATCTTAAGAATTATTTTTTAGTTTGTTATGATTTCCTCAATATTAATAGGCTGGTTATAAAGCATGATTAAATATCCCAAAATATTTCAATTGGTATAGTTTCCTCGCTACTGTCTACCGCAGTTTTTTAGTATAAATTTTTCTTGAAAATAAGCTGCCCAAACGAAGCCTAAATCCAAAGTTATCCACTTAGAAATGAATTGCCAATTTTAAAAAAAGCTCCAATATTATTGAATTCAAACACTTTTTTTTTTAAATAAAACTTTGCTCTCCAAATAAATTCAAATGAAAAGTTACATCAAAATCTTTTTTATTTAATAAAAAAATCAATATTTTCCAAACAAAAAATATACGCAATCATCTTCCCAATTAGGGCTGCAAACGAACCGAATAGAGCTGAGCTTCGGCTTGTTCGACTTTGAGCTCGTTTGTCAAAAGCGTGTTCAATTTCAGTTCGAAGCTTATCAAGCTTCATCAATAGTTGATCGAGTTCGTACCAAGTTCGTGAACAAGTTCGAGCTCGTTTAATTTTAATCTCATCGAGCTTTCTAATCGAGCGACTCATTAAACGAACTCAACGAGCCAAGCAAAACCGCCCGCAAATCTTAATTAATTTTCCAAAACGAGCCAACCTAATTATAGCAACCCACCCCGTGTCAACCACTTTGCCAATATAGGTTATTATATAGTGCAAAACCTTCTAAGATTTCACGGTGTGGACTAAACCACAATTTTTTTTACTTGGTTTTCTTGTGGCCATGGAGGAGAGAGAGAGAGAGAGAGGCAAGCAGGCAGGCGGGTGGGAGAATAAAAACGGGAGTAGTTTATTGGTGCGAGTTTAAAAATAAGGAGAGATGGATGCTTTAAACGTTAAAAGGGCTGAATATTTGTATTAAGAGAGGGTTCATTTATGTTGAGATTGAGGTGGATGCTTTAAACGTTATTCAAATTATCAATTCGACCCATATTTCTTATCCGCAATTTTTTTATCTATAACACTACATAATGTTAGACTTAATTAGTTAAATAATATATAATATTTATTTCTAATTACATAAGGCATAAACGAGCTTTTAATCTAGCTTCATAATGGGCAATTCATGGGTTATAAACGATCTTATTCGTGAACATAAACGAGTCGAACGCTAGGTTGTTCAGTTTTGTTTATTTATCTATCAAGTAATTATAAAGTTATTTAAGCTTGTTCATTTACCTTATTAAATGAACATAAACGAGGTCTGATTGAGCCGAGTCATAAGTAGCTCGTCGAACGCTCGATTTATTTGCAGCCCTATTCCCAATTTTAGTAATTCACTTAAATTAAACAATTTTATATAAATTTATTTGAGAAGCAACATTATTTTTTTTTATTTTATTCGGATAAGTATAGAAGCATAATGTATCAAATAGTAACTCTTCGTCTTTTTTTTGGGAAATATTTATGCCAAGCCCGTGAATTAATCAAAAGAAGGTTACAAGTGTAGGAAGTAACACTAAAAGCCGCACAAAAGTTGAAAGAGCAAGCTCATAAGAGCCAAAAAGAAAAGTTGAGTGCTCAAATAAATATACAAAACAGCAGAAGATATAAGCCCGAGTAGAAAAAAACTCAAAAGAGATCCAAAAACTGCACAAGCAAAAAAATCATCCACAGAAAGAGAAAAAGTCAAAACAAATCCTTCATTACTAATCAAGTCGAATCACAATTTACGACAGAAATATAGAGAGAAAGAGCAAGAAAGTGGGATGAAGAACATCTTAATTTATTCTTTGAAAGTTTAAGTTGTCATGTCAACCGTTACTCAAGATCTTATATCTATGATTTGAATTACTATCATAAAATCACTAAAAAAAAACGAGAGAAAGATGAATAGACTTACATCAGGAGTGCTTCGAGGATAATGAATTGATCCAGAAAAAAGAATTCTCCTTGTTCCATCAATCAAAAGTGCCCTGCCATCATATGATACGTCTCCACCTTCTGCCATTATTGCCATCACCAACAATGTCGTCACAACGATTACTGCCAGCTTCATCTCTGTTCTTACCCTCTCTCTCTTCCTCTACCTTACTCCTCCCAATTCCAGAACGCAATCGATCCGAATAATATATGAAGCTTCGCTGGCTTAATTACTTGTCGTAATGGTTTTTTTGGCTTCTTCTTGAAGTCTAATCCAAACATAAAAGAAATGACTAATCCCTCAAGGATTTATAGCATCTGATAGAGAGATAAGCAGAAATATGAAGCCAAAATAATCTGGATAGAGAGAGAGAGAGAGACGAGCAGGGTGCGGTGGAAAAAACTAACTCGGGAGGCTCTTTATCGTCATATGAGGATGCGCCATGTGGGAGGCTCATGTGAGAGGGGCCGCTTGGGAGTTTGGTGCGGGGCTTTGGATCAGCCGTCAATTGTGCTTTGGGAGTCGTGCGGAATGGCGGAAAGGTCTAGTTAGTTATACTTGGAAACGAGGAGATAGTGGGCAGGTGATGGTACGTTGTGCCGCAGGAGTTGTTCTGATAGGATAAAAATATTGAATGTGATAATAATTTTGAAGTTAGTCAAAGTTCTGACTTTTATTTGAATTTTGATAAACTTGATTTAGAGTTAAGTTAGAGATTTGATTTCTAAATTATTTCTAGTTAATTTAAAAACAATCCATAGTAATACGCTATGCATGAGTTGAAGCCTTATATGGGTGATGGATTGACCTGAACAGTCGACGGGCATCATACCCTTCTAATTTCTTACATTAATAATTTTTTTCCTAATTGTCTTACATTAATGATTTTAACAACATTAAAGGTAGCCTAAGTGGAGCCATCTAATTTAAAATGAATTAAAAAAATTAATATATGCTTAATATATTCGCGAAATTATAAATAGGACTTGAATTTTAGCTAAAATAAGTAAAAAGGGAATCAGTAAATGTAATTTTAATAGGAGCAAAAAAATAAATTGAATTTACATTTTCATAGAAAATACAAACCCAAATTACTTTTTTTGGGAAAAAAATTTTCGTTTTCTCACTTCCCTTAGTTTTCCCGATTTTGCTTCTTTTTTTAATTATAGCTTACTAACATATTTTCTAAAAATTACCATTAGCTAACAATCATAAGGCTGAAACAAGTAGGCCTCCTCTGCTCTATCGCGCCGCTCTGGCGATTAGGGCATCCCCGGTGCGATCGCTGCCTTCCGCTTTCGCTCTGCTTTTCTCCCACTTTGGTCTTGTGGTTTGTTCGATTGGTAGGGTTTTGAGGTTCTCCAGGTTTCGTTGGTGCCCTTTTGGGCTTTTGTGCGATATCGATGGCGGTGGCTCCTCCAGCTAACCCTTGGGGGAAAGCTGCGTCGGATTCATCTGTGGCAAAGAAGAAAGGTTTTTTTAACCTAGATGATGAGGGATCTGGTTCTCCTTCTAGATCTAGATCATTTAAAGAAGTTCTATATGGTGCTGCTGCTTCAGGTGATATTTTTCCGAATGTTCAACAATCTGTCTTTAATGACGTTCCTGCTGTGTTATTATCAGATGAGGAAGTGCTGAAACTTGCTTCCCCTTTTCAATTTACATTGGTGGGTAAATTCGGTTTGCGTCACCCTAACCTTGATGCGATTCGGAATTTTTTCTCGTCTTTAAAGCTTTCCGGTTTTTATTCTGTTGGATTGTTGGATGCAAGGCATGTTGCTACACAATTATCAAATGATTTAGATTATAGTAGAGTATTTGCTAGACGTTCTTATTTCATTTTGAACTGCCAAACGAGGGTTTTGAAGTGGACTCCTTTTTTTGATATAAAAGAAGAGTCACCCATAGTGCCGATTTGGATTTCTTTTCCGAACCTCCGTCTGCATTTTTTCAATTCAAAAGTTTTGCATGCTTTGGGTTCTATTTTCGGTAGAGCTCTTCAAATGGATCAGGCTATGGCCTCTCGAACCCGTCCTTCGGTTGCGAGAGTACTGGTTGAAGTGGATATTTCGAAAAAGCATCCCAAAGAAATTTGGGTGGGTTCTAAAGCTTATGGCTACTTGCAAAAAGCGGAATTTGAGAAAGTTCCTGAGTTATGCAATCACTGTAAAATGCACAGTCATGGCCTTGTGGATTGCTTTAAACTTCATCCGGATTTAAAGAAAGTTTCTGGGCATGCTGGTGGGAGGCCTGGTTCTACCGAGAACATTAAAGTTTTTGTGCCTATCGAGAAAGCTAGTGGGGATGTTAATGTTGCTCAGGTGGAACCTCCTCTGACTGTGCATAATGGTAATTTGGATGGGGGTGAAATAAGAGGTGAAATTGAGAAGATTGATCATATGATGAATCTGGATAATTCTGAACTGGCTTTAAATTCTTTAGATAATAATATTGTGCTTAACGATTCTACTGATAATGCTGCGAATCCTAAACTTTTTATTTTAATTGATGATATTTTAAATGAGTTGCCTGTTAATTCTAACTCTGTGGCTATTGAGAATGCTTTAATCTCGAAACAGGATAACAGTGACATCGTGGTTGAGAATGGTGAGGATGCTTTGGGGGACTCCTATGAGGAAGGTGAAGTTATTCCTAATGTTAATGTTGTTGATACTTCTAAAATGAACCAAGGTACGGTTTTATCGTCTCATACTTCTAAATATCTAAAAATGGGTGAAAAGGATACTAGTGTTATGAGTGGTAAAATAAAAGGTAAACATAAAAATAGCTGCCCTGCCACTCCTAGATCCACTAGAGCTCAAACTTCTTCTAAAGCTGGTAATGATTAAAGCTCTGATGTGGAATGTTAGGGGGATTGGCGGTAAGGTTTCTAAATTGTGTGTTAAAAATCTTTGTAGGATGTATAATATTCAACTTCTAATCTTAAGTGAGCCTCTTATTAATGCTGCTAGAATTACGGATACTGCTAAGTTGTTGGGTTTCTCTATGCACTTTGCGAATATTTCTAACAAAATCTGAATTATGTGGAAGAAGAACATTTTATTAGACATTGTGGTTGATCTGAATCAAGTTGTTCATTGTAATATTAATGTGTGTAATATGAATTGTTTTGCTTCTTTTGTTTATGCTGCTAGTAATAGAATTGATCGTATTAATCTTTGGGATCAAATTGTTAACTTTGGTGCTAACATTAATGGTCTGTGGTGTATTGGAGGAGATTTTAACATTATTTCGAATGCTAGTGAGAGGAGTGGTGGTTGTAGGCCTAATATTAAAGCTATGGAAGAATTTAATGCGATGATTAATGATTGTAACCTTAATGATATTGGTTTCCTTGGCAGCCCTTTTACTTGGAATAGGGTAGTATGTGTCAACGTTTAGACATTTAACAATGATTGGTTAGCTAAATTTTCTGCCACTAATGTTGAACATCTTAGTAGAACGATGTCTGATCATGCCCCTTTGCTTTTAAATGTTAATGTTCTTAACCAAACTGGCACTTTTGCTTTTAGATTCCTTAACATGTGGTTACTTCATGATAATTTTAAAGATGTGATTGATAGCAATTGGAATGCTACTGCTTTCCTGAATAACAGCATTGCGGGTATGTTGAGGCTTTGGGCTACATTGTCTAGACTTAAACAATATTTGAGATACTAGAATAAAAATGTTTTTAAAAATATCTTTTCGAATATCATGGAAGCTGAGTCTAAAGTGGTTGAGTTAGAGGGGGTTTACCTTGATCACCCTAATGAGGAAAATAGTGTGAATTTAAACCTTGCTAAAAACGTTTTATGTAATCTTCAATGCCAAGAAGAAGCCTATTGGAAACAAAAGTCTAATGCCAAGTTTGTCATTGAGGGAGACAGAAACACCAAAATTTTCCATGCTATGGCTAATAAAAATAAAACTAAAAGTCAAATTCATAGAATTGTGAACAATGATGGGATTTTTCTGGAGACTAATGAGTTAATTTGTAAGTCGGGATGGATTTTTTTGTTAATATGTTTAAGTGCAATGATAATATTCTCCCAATTGTTAATCCTGAGGTTATTCCTAATCTAATTAAAGATTATGATAATTATTTGCTTTGCCAACTTCCAAATGAGACTGAAATTTTCAATGTTTTGACAGATATGAATGGAGAGGCTACTGCGGATCCTGATGGTTTCACTACCAAGTTTTTTCAAAAGTCTTCGGAGACTGTTAAGGGTGATGTTATTAATGCTGTGCAAGATTTTTTTGGAGGTAATCCTTATCCGAAATTTTGTTCTTCCTCTAATATTGTTCTTATTCCGAAGAAAGAGGGTGCTGATGTTTGGACGGATTTTAGACCTATTAGCCTTTGTACCTTTTTGAATAAATTAAACTCTAAAATCATTGCTAGTAGATTGGCTAATTTACTTCCTAGAATTATATCATTAAATCAAACTAGTTTTGTTAAGGGTAGATGCATAAGTGATAATGTCCTCCTTGCTCAGGAGCTTACTCATGATATTAACAATAAGGTTTCTGGTTGTAATATTATTTTTAAACTGGACATCACTAAAGCGTATGATAATTTGAATTGGAAGTTTCTTTATAGAGTGTTGTCTTTGTTTGGTTTCAGTCAAGATTTCATCCTTCTGATTAAAAATAGTGTGGAGAACTGTTTCTTTTATGTTATTATTAATGGTAGAAAACATTGGTATTTTAAGTCTTATAAAGGTCTTAGGCAACGAGATACTATTTCTCCTTCTATTTTTATAATTGCTATGGAGTATCTGTCTAGAGGATTAGAAGATCTTTATGCTAAAAATGTGAGTTTGAACTTTATAACGATTAGAGGGTTTTCTATTTCGCATTTAAGCTTTGCTGATGATTTCATCCTTTTTGATAACGGTTCCATTAAGAATGTGAAAATTTTAATGAAATTTCTGATTAAATTTAAAGATTATAGTGGTCTTGCTTTTAGCAAAGATAAATGCAATTTTATTGTTGGCAACTCTATCAATCAGAACAGGACTCAGGCTATTCAAAGGGTTTGTGGGTTTCAACCGAAAAAATTGCCTATCAAATATTTGGGTACTCCGATTTATAAAGGTAAAAAGAAAAACTTCCTTTTTGAATATATT